CAGAGAAAGAGAGAGAGAACAACAGAGAGAGAGAGAGAGAAATACAGAAACACAGAGAAACACAGAGAGACAGAGAAAGAGAGAGAGGGACACACACACACACACACACACACACACACACACACACAGAACTAAGGGGGTCTTTTCAAAGAAATTCTTATATCCTTTTTCTTTTCTTTTCTTTCCAGTTTCATTCCTTCCTCCAAAGCCCCCAATTTCACAATAATTCCATGGATGGGGTATATTTGAATGAGAAAGGAGATCTGACAGCTGACCTGGACATTGTAAACTGGGTAATTTTTCCCAATAAATCTATCAACAGAGTGAAATCTGGGAGTCTAAAAAAACGGGTATCCCAGGATTTGAAAATTTTCATTGACCAGAAGAGTATCGCACAAGTGGAAAAGCTGAACAAGGTGAGACTAATAATTATTTTATTCCACTGAAGGTTACAAAAACAAGAATAAAATTTTGAGGTGTGGTGTGATGGGGTTTTCATCCCAGTGCCTTTGAGTTTCCATATCAGCTGATCATGTTCTCAAAAGCACAAACTTCTTCCTTATCAGCTACTCAGGTTGCCATGAAAAATATAGTCTTCAATTTTCATACAAACTCGTCACAGAATCTATGGAAAGAGAGGTACATTGAGCCAGTCATGCAAGTAACCTAGAATAAGTAACCAAAAAAACCTGTCCAACATTTTCCTGATAAATTTTATCTCTAGATTTAAAATGAAAATCTACAGTGTATAGAAAACAATAGAAGGAACAGAAAGAAAGACAGAATGTGTTTTTCAAACCTCACATTGTACATTGACTTTTCATTAGTCAAATCTAAATCTTGAACTGGATATCACAAAAACCTTCCTGTGCAATAAGTTCATTTTCTGTGTATTTTTCCTTTATCTCCTCAGCCTCTTCCTCCCTCCAGGTGTGTAGAAAGCTGCCCTCCTGGATTCATGAAGGTGGCTCAGGAAGGGAAGCCCATCTGCTGCTACGACTGTCTTCCCTGTGCAGAAGGAACCATCTCCACCATGGAAGGTGGGTGACAGCAGAGAAAAGGGAGAGACTTTTGGGAGGAAGATAAACATCCTGACATTATTCTGAAAATATTGTTTTGATAGGCATTAAACTTGGATTTTTGTAAAAAAAAAACTAATTTATTTTAATATGTATAGCATAATATGTGTTGGAAATAATATTGAGATGTTATTAAAATATATGGTGATAAAGACATATCTTGCTCTTAATCTTCTGTACTGATCAGCCTCCTCCGTTTTATTTGGCATCTCTGGAGAAATATAAAAAATTGGATTCTTTCCCTTCCCTTCCCTTCCCTTCTTTGGTCCACTAATACATGAGTGAAAGACTGGACTTGTTTGATTAAGAGGTTCCTCTACAAGTCCAACATTGGATCCTGCCTGCCTGCTTGCCTCCTTCCCTCCCTCCCTTCATTCATCTCTGAATAGAAATATTTCCTTCCAGCTGGAGCCACAGGAAGAACTCTAAAATTGAAGATTTTCAGCTCTCAACAGAGATGCCCAAGGACACAAAATACATTAGTGTTCCTTCCTTGGTCTGGGTGGGAGAATAAAGACACAGGAGAATTCACCAGTCAAAGGAACAGCTTTTCAGACAAAGTCCTCACCATCTCCTTGTTCTAAGTGGATTGCTTTTTGCAAGGAGAATGTAAGAAGGGGACTTCCCCAGCACCCAGTGTACAAATTAAAAGCATAGCTGATTTTTGTGTGTGAAATATATCCCTTCTTAAAAGAATCATATCACATTTCACTGTAAAATGTAGTCCATAGAACAGGGGTCCTCACACTTTTTAAACAGGGAGCCAATTCATGGTCTCTCAGACTGTTGGGGGGGGGCAGACAAGCTGGGTGGGCATTGCTAAGTGGTCATGTGACTGGATTGACTTGGCCAATTTAGAAGTCTAAACAATACAGTTAAATTTAACTTTAATTTGTTATGCTCCTGGGGGTGGAAAGCAAGTTAGCGAAGAGATTTGGCTGCCTTGGGGTGTGTATGAGGGACTTGTGTGTGTGTGTCTGTGTGTGTGTGTCTGTGTGTGTGTGTGTGTGTGTGTGTCTTTCCCTCTCCCTCCCTCCCNATTGCTGCCTCACCAGTCATAAACCTCACCGCATATCACTGCTCCCTCCCTCCCTCCCTCCCTCCCTCTCTCTCTCTCTCTCTCTCTCTCTCTGAAAGCTCTATTCCCTTTTCCACCTCGGAGTTCTTAGGTTGCCTTGTTACTGACCCTGACCCCCATTCCTCCTCCTCTGTTTGGCTAATGGAGGGGCCGGTGGCCTACAAGCCACAACACAGTTGTGCCAATATGATTTATCTAGTAAATTGTTCTTTGAGGAATTTACCTGCCTCGGACTTCTGCTTTCTATGGGAGCATTACTTGGAATGCTGACAGTCGCTTTACCTTACCTTACCTTACCTTACCCTTCACTTCACTTCTCTTTACTCGATATACTAAGGAATGAGTAAAAGCCTGGATTTTTTTTGTCTAACACAGTATTTCAGGCAAATTCTCTTGATTGCTGGCTGCCAGCAGTTCAGCAGTTCAATTCTCACCTGCTCAAGGTTGACTCAGTCTTCCATCCTTCTGAGGTTGGTAAAATGAGGACCCAGATTGTTGGGGATAATATGCAGACTCTGTAAACCACTTAGAGAAGGCTCTAAAGCAGTGAGAAGTGGTACATAATTCTAAGTGCTATTGCTAACATTGGAAACTAACTAACTTCCTCCCTCCCTCCCTTCCTTCCTCCCTCCCTCCCTTCCTGATGAAAAATGAGGGAATAATGAATTTCACTTGTTTAAAGTATTTTTTAATTAGGGGGTCCATGGAATGAACATTACTTATTCTGTTATTCTGAACATGGAATGGAATCAGTGCAACCTCCAAGAGCAACACAACTCATTGTTTGCCTTTTACAATTTTCCTTTTGCAGTATAATGCTTGAACTTCCCAACCTTTGCTACCTATTACATTTATCCACTCACATTCATCTTCACCATCATCTGTTTCAATCTAACTATACGTGTAATGGAAGTTCTTGTTTTATGGTAGATGTTAATCTTTCTCTTTTTAGATGCTGAAAAATGCACCAGATGTCCAGCACATCAGCATCCAAACATCAACCGAGTTGAATGCATTTCAAGGATTGAAACTTTCTTATCATATACACAAAAACTGGGGATCATCCTAACTTCCATCGCCTTGTTCCTCTCTTTAGCCACAGCCTTTGTCTTGGGGATCTTCATTAGATTCATGGAAACTCCCATAGTCAAAGCCAACAATCGGGACCTCTCCTACATCCTCCTGGTCTCCCTCCTGCTTTCCTTCTTGACATCCTTTCTATTCATTGGCCAGCCAAAAACTGCCACTTGTCTTCTCAGACAAGCAGCTTTCAGCATCATCTTCTCAATTGCTGTATCTTCAATCCTGGCCAAAACAATCACAGTGGTGTTAGCTTTCTTCGCCACAAAACCAGGGAATAAGATGCAAAGATGGCTGGGGAAGAGCTTGGCCAACTCCATTATCCTTTCTAGCTCTGGTGTCCAAGTTGTCATCTGCAGCATCTGGTTGGGCACCTCTCCTCCATTTCCTGATATTGACATGCACTCACAATCTGCGGAGATCATCCTGCAATGTAATGATGGCTCTGTTGCCATGTTCTACCTTGCCCTTGGCTACATGGGTTTGCTGGCGGCCATCTGCTTCATAGTGGCTTTCCTGGCCAGGAATCTACCTGGGGCCTTCAATGAAGCCAAGCTCATCACCTTCAGCATGATGGTCTTCTGCAGTGTCTGGGTATCTTTTGTACCCTCCTACTTAAGCACCAAAGGGAAATACATGGTGGCCGTGCAAATTTTTTCTATCTTGGCTTCCAGTGCTGGTCTGCTCTGCTGCCTCTTCATCCCCAAGTGCTACATTATTTATTTAAGACCAGATCTGAACACCAAAGAATATTTGATGTCAAAATAAAATAAAAAATATTTTTATGTCTTTCCCCATTGCCATTTAATTAATTCAAAAATATCATTTGCTATTTGAATGGTCCTAAAAAAAAGATTATGAATATGCAAACCTGTTTATTTTGTTTTGCATCTAACCTACCTAGAAAAATGAAATTCGAAGTAGATAAAAGTACAATTGTACACTTAGGCAAGAAAAACCAATTGGGCAGGTATAGACAAGGTGAAATTTGGCTTAATGTCAGTAATTGTGAGAGGGATCCTAGTGGACAATCACTTAAACATGAGCCAGTAGTGTGCTGTAGCAGACAAAAAGGCCAGTGCAGTCTTAGGCTGCATTAATAGAGGGACAGAATCAAGATCACATGAAGTTCCAGTACTGATTTACAAAGTCTAGTAAGTCCACATTTGGAATAATGCATCCAGTTCTAGTCAACACATTGTTAAAAAGGTTGTTGAGACTCTGGAAAAACTGCAGAGAGGAGTAACAAAAATGATTAGACAGCTGGAGGTTAAACCCCTATGTATCACGGTTAAAAGAATTGGGTATGTCTAGTCTAATGAACAAAGCCCTGTATGGAATTACTCAGGCAAAAGCATTGAAATAGAGGGGTTCTTTTTAATGATTATTTCATGAAACTGTTAGCAACAGGATTGTTATCTTACTGCTGTGGCCCGTCGGCTGCCAGCAGAGTTAGCAGCAGAGTCAGACGAGGAGGAGGGGGAGCCTGTGTCAGCTTCGGAGCCTTTGAAAGGTTCTCTGATGAGGAAGCAGAATCAGGGGCAGATGCAGAGCTGTGGTCTGCATCTGCCACTGATTGTGGAGAGGCAACTGTCTTCAGGGCCTGAGCTGAGTGAAGGGGAGGAACAGATTGGGCCATCCCAGATGTGTGTATGAGTGTATGCATAGAGAGGGGAGGGGAGGGGAGAGGATTGGAGAGGAGAGGAGAGCAATGAAAGCCAATAAGCTGGCTCTCAGGGAAAAGACATTATAGATGCTATCCAGCCCTTCCCTGGCTGGGAAATAAATAATAGGGGTTTGGGAGTGGCCTGTTGCAGACAACCATTCATTTTTCAGTCTACATNGCCAAGGAGAGCCACTTGCCTTCTCCGACAAGTAGCCTTCAGCAACATCTTCTCGGTTGCCATTTCTACTATCTTGGCAAAAACAGTCATGGTGGTGTTAGCATTCTTGGCCACAAAACCAGGAAATAAAGTACAGAGATGGCTGGGGAAGAGCCTGGCCAATTCTATCATCCTTTCATTTTCTGTTGTTCAGCTTGTCCTCTGCAGCATCTGGTTGGGCACTTCTCCTCCATTCCCTGAGTTGGACACAGGCTCACTAACTACGGAGATGATTGTGCAATGTAATGAAGGCTCTATTGCCATGTTCTACCTTACCCTTGCCTACAAGTGCTTCCTATCTGTCATCTGCTTCACAGTGGCCTTCCTGGCCAGGAATCTCCCTGGGGCCTTCAACGAAGCCAAGCTCATCACCTTCAGCATGCTGGTCTTCTGCAGCATCTGGATATCCTTTGTTCCCACCTACCTGAGCACCAAGGGGAAGTATATGGTGGCTGTACAGGTCTTCTCCATCTTGGCTTCAAGCACTGGCCTGTTATGTTGCATCTTCTTTCCCAAGTGCTATATTATTTTTTTAAGACCAGACCTGAATACAAAAGAACATTTGTTGTCAAAATAAAATAAGAAATTTATTTTTGGTCTTTCCTCATAATTCCAGATAATGCCAAAAATATTATTTATTACTTTATTGTTCCTATTTAAAAAGTAGACATATACTACATGCTTCGCTGAGCTCATCACATGACCACATGGTCATGTTTTGATTCCTTTACAGAAGGACAGATGAGTGGAGGCCTGCCTCACCTCTAGAGGAGAATATTCCATAGGATACCATCCCTGCCTAACCAGGTGAGATTGACCTGGGATGGTGATCCTGTAGATAACCTGGTGCTATACCATGTAGGGTTTTATAGGTCACAACTAAAGCCTTGAATTGGACCTGGAAGCAAACTAGCACCACATGGAGTTCATGGAGTAAAGCAGAGGTGGTATTCAGCAGGTTCTGACCAGTTCTGGAGAACCGGTAGTGGAAATTTTGATAGTTCAGAGGACCGGTAAATACCACCTTTGACTGGCCCCACTCCCATCTATTCTCTGCCTCCTGAGTCCCAGCTGATTGGGAGGGAATGGAGATTTTGCAGTATCCTTCCCAGTGGTGAAATGTAAATTTTTTT